GATCTCCACATATGCAACATGGCACGTGGGCTTACACACACTAAAAATAATTAATTTAAAACAAAATGAAAAGTCCAGGCATAGTGGCACGTGCTTTGAATCCCAGTACTTGGGAGGCAGAGGTAGGCGGATCTCTGTGAGTTCAAGGGCAGCCTGGTCTACACTGGAAGCTCCAGCTGTGGCTGCATAGTGAGACCCCCGTCTCAAAAACAAAACAAAAGGTGAACAGCAGCTGAGGAAGGAGCTGAGATTGACCTCTGACCTCCGTATGTCCGCACACGTCTGCAGGGTCTGAGGAACCCTGGGTTGGGCCCCGGGGTGCTGAGGGAGGCCCACCAGTGTCCTTCCGCACCTTGCTTGTGCTGTTTACCAGCATTATTGAAACGTAATTCACATACCACAGAACTGACCCGCTCGAAGCTTTGGATTCGATGGTTTTTAGTCGATACTCAGAACCACAGAGTCGCCATCACATTCTGTAATAGTTTTAGAACGTTTCCATAACCTGAAAAGACCCTAACCTGTCACACTCCCCTCTGCTCTGTCCCAGGTCTACCTTCTCCCTATGACTGCCTCTTCTGGCAGGATGTCAGACGGGCTCCTTCGGTGAGGTCTGGCTCTCTCACTTGCATGTGGCTCGAACCAGAGCTGCACTGCCCTGCAAGGCTGATGGTATCCACGGTTGTATTGATTTTATTCTGCTTGTTCATTTACCGGCTGAGGGACGGGTGGGTGCCTCCATGCCTGGGCTTTGGTAACTTGACAAATGTGTGGACAGGGGTCTCCACTGCTCTTGAGTCTTTAAAATACTTTATTTTTTTTATTTTATGTGCATGTGTGTATAGCCCGCATGTATGCAAGTGCACCCATGTTGTGCAATGCCCGAGGAGATCAGAAGAGGATGTTGGATCCCTTTGGAACTGGACTTATAGATGGTTGCTAGCCACCATGTGGGTGCTGGGAGTTGAACCCGGGTCCTCTACAAGAGCATTCAGTGCTCTTAACCACTGAACCATCTCTCCAGCCCCACTCTTGAGTCTTTATGTGGGAGTCAAAGTGCTGGGTCCTGTCCTGACTGTTTTCCACAATGGTTTTTCTCCCTGGGCCTGGGCCTGGGCCTACCCTGCTCTATTTGTCTACAGAGGCAAAGGGGGAAGAGAGCAGGTCACAGGGCAGCTCGGGGCTCTCCCCAGGACTCCATCAGGAAGAATCTTGGTGCTCTAGGGCAGTGGAGCTCGAGCATCTCTGAGCTGAAGAGTTCCCAGCCAGAGGCAACAAGACAAAAGGATGCTCAAGGTCTTCCATGGTGCGTGCTGGGAACTAGTGCCCAGCAGATGGGGGAGAAAATGGAGAAGTGGGCTACTTGGGAACCTGGGGTGGAGGAGGACCAGTTAAACTCACAGGTAGGATGGGTGGGGTGAATGACCTAAGATTGTGGAGGCGAGATCCCCACAGGTATGGACACTCTTGGAATGGTTCTAGGTGAGCCTGATTTCTACCACCCCCCAAAGAGGACTGGCCAGAACTGGGTACCAATGAAGACCTCGGTCCCTTTTCTGGGCTCTGGGCTTGACCTGGCAGGCTTCAGCTGCAGCACAAAAGGGTTGGGGACAAATTTCCTCCCCAGGAATACAGGCTCCCCAGCAGCGCTCCTATCTCTATGGACGTGTTGTATCCTTGTGTCTGTCGGGGTCACTGCCCCACTCTCTGCGGGAGGGTGGCTTCCAGGAACTCTCACCTCCATGTAAGCCACCTGCCCTGTGTGTGCTAACGTAGCTCTGTCCTCTGGGTTCTGCTCTTCTGGTGGCATATTTCAAAAACCGAATGCTCTTCACCATGGTCCACACCAGTTTTTAAAATCTCCCTTTGTGGCCAGCGATTTTCTGTCCTGAACAAGATGCCGTCAGTGTTGTTTGATATCTTATGATATGATCTAAAGCTTTTGGTTTTCACCTTTCATGGGGTTTTCAACTCTCCCAATGTGGATTTTTTTGGGGGGGGCTGTGATGAAAGTCAGCTCTCACTTCCTGTTTTTCTATGTCGATATCCAGCTGTTTGTAGAATTTCTTCAAAGTTTCCATTCCCCACTGCTTTGTAGAACCACCACCAACATAAATCAAAGGACAGGATACACCTCACTTCATCGCTGGACTCCTTTCTCACACTCTGGTTGGCTGTGTGTCCTTAAGCCAGGGTACAGTGTCTGATGTACTGTCATGTCACTGGGGCTCCGTGTCAGGCGGTACAGGCCGGCCTCTCCTGTTCCTGCTCAGTAGGGTCATGGTTTTCCCAGAACTTTTAAATCCACCTTGTCCCGTGTCATAGGAGGGAACTTAACGGATGGCGCTCACTCAGGGCACATGTGGCGTGGTCATGTCTGGTGCTCTGATCCGAGAATACAGAACAGACTTTCGTGAACATAGACCTCCAAGATCTGGGTCTTCGATGACGACTCTCAGTTCTCTATTTCAGTTTCCAACACACAGGACACATGCCTGTACTGTGTTAAGAGTCCCTCAGTTATCTGTGAGTAGAGCAATTGCTTTGGCCTAAACTTGCTCTGGTTGTTTAGCTTTGGAATTGCTTAACTTTTCCATGTGCTCGGGCTTATCTTCTGGAGACATCCGCCTCTCTAGCCCTTCGGCACACTGGCTTCTGTTTCACTCTGCCACAGCCTTGGCCACAGCAGGAGGGATGACTTCCTCATTTGTTACAGCCTCTGCGGATGTTCTTGGACATAGGTTGCAGGTTCGGCACCTGTGGCCTCTGACGTTGGCTTTGTGTGCTCTCCGTAGGTTCTTGGACCTGGGCATCCTCCATCCTGTCCTAATGCTTACTTTGAAAAAAAAACACAACCTTCTATGGAGGGCCAGGGAGATGGTTCAGAGGGCAAAAGCACTTGCCATGCCAGCCTGACAACTTGAGTTCAAGCCCCCAGGCCCATGTAAAAAGCCAGAGGTAGTGGCTCACGTTGATCATCTCTCACAGTCCTCCTGAGCATTGGCCAGAGCCCTTAGGCCTCCTAGCCTGGTATGCACATGACAGAAAGAAGAGAGAGCCCACCTTAGAAAGAAGACAGGAGGAAGGAGAGAGCCAGCTCCTGAAAGTTGTCCCTCTGACCCCTCTCCATGAGTATTGTTACATGCCTACCCTCCCCCCACACACACACTTCATAGAAATCATGCAAAGCCTGGGATGCTACATTTTCCCTTTTAAAAGCTTTCTGCTGGTTTCCACTGACAACCCGTGGCACCAGCACCCTGACCTGTGGATGAATTCTGGAGCCAAGATTCTGGTGCACAGATTCTCCGAGGTGGTTTGGGGTGTGTTGAGGGCTAGCTTTCCTCACTCCTAGGGTACAGCCCTTCTGGATCCCAGCCTACACCCTCGATAGCCCTTGGCCCTGACCTTTGACCTGTAGCATTGCATGACTGTCTAACAGCCTCAGGGTCTGGTAACTAATCACGACAAAAACAAGCTCAGTTTCTTTCTCCAAGAATGCTGCTGTTCCCAGAGCTTGCCAGTCTCAGCTGTGCCCCACTGCAGACCTGTGACCTCTGGCTTGCTTGTCCCTAGTAGGACAGACAGTCCTGAACACTCAGATTGTTATTGCCAGGGGTCAATGACTCCTATACACCCAATTTTAAGGTCTTGAACATGCCAGACCTGGCTCTATTTCTTTATGTCACTGAAAGACCATAGAGCAGGTGATTTACAAAAGTCTGCTTTGGTTCATGACTCTAACCATAGGAGGGCAGAGGTGGCACACCACCTGGCAAGAAGCATGTATGTCTATGGGTGTGCATGTACCTTACACATGTCTATGTATGTGTGTGTGCATGTATAGAAGCATAAGCATGAATGGCATGAATGTAGGCACATGTGCATGTACTCTGTACATATGTGGCTACATGAATGTGCCTGTGTATACATGAATGTACGCATGCATGTGCATATATGTGAATGGATGCACACATGTGACCACATGGTATGCACATGTGCATGCCAGTGTGTACATATAGGCATTCATGAATATGTGTGCGTGTATGTGCATATATGTGAGTGAATGTGCATCTGTGTGTGCATGTACATGTATGCACGTGCATGTATACATAAATTAAATATATGTGTGCAGACATGTGGGTGTGTGGTTGTGCATGCATGTCCCAGCAGACATGTGGGTGTGTGGTTGTGCTTGCACGTGTGTCCCGGTTTCTTCCTCTTTCTCTAAACCTGCCAAGACTGACTGGTGATCCTCTCTGACAAACTGACCTAGTCCTAAGCACACCCCCAGATGCCCACCTTCAAACAGTACCATGGGATTAAATCCCCGCTGCCTCCTTGCTGCACAGGGATAAATGCCCAGATGCAAATATGGCTCCTACCATTCTTCATGGCATTCCTTGCCACATGGCTGTATTGGTAACATCTCCTGATGAAGGGGCAGTGCCTTACAGTGGGGGTGACTGGCAGACAGAGTGGGGAGCAAAAAGGTGTCCTCATCCATGGGTGCATTGAGCAGCTCCTGACCCTCAGGATGCCACACAGCTTTGCGTCCAGTGTCTATCCGTGCTGACGGTGGGACTTTAGTTCTTCACCTTTAAACATCCCCTCAGCGGCTGCTGACAAGGGACGTCACCGGTGCTCAGGACTTCTCCCTTCCATATTAAATGCCCTGAGACCGGCTCACCCCAGACTATCCTGGGGACTGGACTCCAGAAACCTACCTAATCACAAGGAAGTGTTTGGAGTCCACTGGGGAATGAGAAGGGATGTGGGGCCAGACTTGACTTGAGCCATCAACAGGGCAGGCCCATTCCTGCAGAGGCCTCCCTCTGGGAGGATTTCAGACCTCCTGTTGTGAAAGCAGAGGCCTCCAGGAAGTGACTGTCTCCTGGGGATTGAGACGAGCTCCTGGAGCGGAAGGAGGGGACTGACTGGCTTACAGAGCAGAGAACCTCCACAAAGCTATAGACATCCAGGAGCCCAGTAAAGTCTCCATGGCCCCAGGACGTGCTGCCCTACTCCTCTTGACCCTGTACATCAAAGATGTGACTGTCCAGGCTTCTGACACCTGTCCAGGTGAGATGGACTCTGGTTCTCTGGCCCCTGAAAGCTGGTAACTACCTACTGGTCACTTGCTTAGTGTCCCTGTGCCTGCCTCCTCTAAGAAGGCTGTGGTGGTCCTCCAAGGAACTAAATGACCTGTCCAGGACAGGTGGAGAGTGCAGCGGCCTGTGACTGCTGTCTGGCCTGTAGCCTGCTCCCAGGAGCTTTAGAGATGCTGAGGAAGACGAAGATACCATTGATGTTTGCCGCCATCTCAGGGACTTTGGAGAGAAGCTCTGGGGGCCTCCAATCTGGCGATTGCCAACCTCCTTGGGAAGTTCAGCAAACTGCTCCCTGGAGTCCCTTTCAGTAGATACGGGCAAGGCTTTGTGCGGTGGGGACCCTCCTGGGGACCTTCCCTCGCTGCTCTGTCCACCCTGGAGAGACAGTTCCTAAACACTGAGCAGCTGCTGCAGGAGGTGACCTGGTTAGAAAAGGGACTCAGACGGCCAGGAAACCCCCTTTCCCCCAGTGGAAAGAAGCAAAGATGGAGTGGTTGGGGCCTCCTAGGCAGCCCCACCAGACTCTGAAAGCCATCCCCCATGAGCTCTTCTGCAAGGGTGTGTACTTTCTGAGTCAAAAAAATAACATTTTCAAGGAGGCAGCTAGCTCTGGTTCCTGGGGTGTCATGACTACTCTGTGCCGTTGGAGCACACCTGTCTACGCCCCTACAAGACCCCTCCTAACCCAGTCATTCCATCATCAATCCCCAAGGTCTAGGAGAGAAAATGCTATATTGACTCAGTTCTCTGGGTTTCTTAGCAAGATTGATTATTTGTTGAAAGCACTAGCCACTTACAAAGCCCTTTCTAAACGCCAGAAATGGCAAGAATCTAAAAATTTCCATTCTTGAATCTAATCTTTGTCACAGCCCCACATGGAGCTGAAGGGACAGAGATTCAGTGGGCTTAGGTGATCTAAGGACATACGGTACTGGGGCCCCTCTTAGGACATACGGTACTGGGGCCCCTCTTGAGCAGGCTCACTACCTGCCCCCCTCCAGGACTCTGTCCTGCTTCCTCTCACAGTTGCTAGCTGCCTAGGGTGAAGACAGATCAAGTCTCCATCAGGAGAGGACCCAGCCTCTGCCCCAACTCTCCAGTGGAGGCTGGTGACTCTGGTTGCGACCATCTGCCTGGGTCTGCTGTGGCTCAGCTGGGATGTGCCCTTGGTGGCCCCAGATGGCAATACTAATTGGATGGTTGTGTTTCTCCGTAGAGGTGAAAGTGCTGAGCCTGGAGAACTCTGACAAGCTCACCATCCTTCGAGGCTGCCCTGGGATGCCAGGAACCCCAGGGCCCAAGGGAGAAGCGGGTGCCAAAGGAGAAAGAGGTGTGTGTTGGGAGTGGGGGTGGGGGTGCATGGGAGGACAGCAGTGTGTGCGGGGGGAGGACAGGAGTGTGTGCGGGGGAGGACAGCAGTGTGTGTGGGGAGGACAGCAGTGTGTGTGGAGAGGGGGCAGGACAGCAGCATGTGCAGGGGGGAGGGGAGGACAGCAGTGTGCTGGGGGAGGACAGCAGTGTGTGTGTTGGGGGGGACAGCAGTGTGTGCAGGGGGAGGACAGGAGTGTGTGCGGGGGAGGACAGCAGTGTGTGCAGAGAGGGGGCAGGACAGCAGCGTGTGCAGGGGGGCGGGGAGGACAGCAGTGTGCTGGGGGAGGACAGCAGTGTGCGGAGAGGGGCAGACAGCAGTGTGTGCGGGGGGGGCAGCAGTGTGTGCGGGGGGAGGACTCTGAGGCTGATATCCTGAATTTAGATGCCCAATTTGGGCCCTGCCGGACTCTGGGTCTTAGATTGGGAGCTGAATAGAAGGGTCAGTGATAGAAGCTGACCCTCCAGGTCCAACCGGTTCTGAAAAGACTCAGGAGGGACTCTCTGACCATCTTAGGTATGCTAGGCTTGCTTTGCAGACCTGTCTCCTGGTCTTCCACCCAATACTGGCTTTACTTGGTCACTCAAGAGGCTTCTAGGTAATAGGAACTTTACATCCTCATCTGAAAACTAGGGTGTCCACGTTCTTCTCGGCCTGCCTCAGACGGCAGAAGAGACTGAGGGCCCAGCACCCTCCTGAGTTTGCACTCCAGGAAGAGTGGGCAGCCTCCCATCCGGGGACTGCTTCCATGTACAGTCACTAGGACTCTGAATCACAACCTGAGCCCTTGTGGGGACCTCTAGCACACACAGCATCTGTCACCCCAAATCAGGAGACAGCAGTACCTGTATGGGTGGTCTGGGTCTCCTGAGTCAAGCATGGACAAATGTGCCCCCGAGGTTCAGAGGGAGAGCTGCCTTGGAGAGCCCTGTCCCTGGAGTTGCCCCAGATGGGGCCTGGTTAGGGACAGGACAAACCTAGATGTTCCTATGATGTGCACATTCTAAAAGATGGCCAGTCTTGAAGACCTTGTGGGTGGTCTCAGGCCAGGTCTCATATTGCCTGCTCATTACTGTGGACCCTGAAGGAGAAGGAGGTCCTCCCCGGCTAAAGGACCTTGGGAAGGAGGCTTCCTCATGGCCAGGATGGTGGGGCCCAACAATGGGGGAAGGGGTGCTACCTCTTACCTTGAACCCCACTTAGCCTGAGAACCAAGTTTCTAGTAGCCTGTGTGCCCCAAAGCAGACACCAGTATTCCCAGGCACGTGGAGATAGAGGGCTACAGCTGTGTCTCTGCAGTGATGTTACATCTCTTGACCCTGCTGGAGTCCATCTTGTAGGGGTATCAGGCAGGTCCACTCTGCTCAGGTCTCCAACTGCTGCAAATGCTAGTTGTATGGAGCTGGGGGCCTGCATGGCACCTGGTCGCTCCTGTATTCAGAACCCACATGGAGGACCTTGTGACCCCCTTACAACCTCCACAGAGTCAGGGGTTATGGGTATGACACAACCACAGTTTTTTCACATCGGATCACTCTAAAGGCCCTCTGGGACAGCTTCTTTGAGGACATGTTCCTTGTCCCAGTCCATCCCAATAAGGCCACGGTGGTTCAGGCCTGAGGAACAAGGGAGAGGTCCCAGCTGCTGGGCTGTGCCCTCCACACTGCCTGGCTGCGGTCCCAGTGGTCGCTGAGGTCAGCATGGGAGGGGCTGGGGTCTGCCATTCAGGCAAAGATTTTCCAGGGGGATCTTGGTGGGCACTTTGCTTAGCAAGGCATGTTTTGGATTTGCAGGAGAACGTGGCCTCCCTGGACCCCCTGGGAAGGCAGGACCACCTGGGCCTAAAGGTAACAGCCTGGCACAGAGCCAAGGGGCACCAAACACACACCTCAGTCTGTGAGGGTCAGGGAGAAAAATGACAGAGAGGGACTGTCCTAGTTTCTTTCTCCATTGCTGTGACAAAACACTCTGACCACTGCCAACTTGGGGAGGAAAGGGCTTATTCAGCTTACATCTCCGGGGTTACAGTTCATCAGGGAGCCCAAGGTAGGAACTCAGGACAGGAACCTGGAGGCAGGAGCTGGAGCACAGGCCATGGAGGAACGCTGCTTACTGGCTTGCTC